ATGCTACCTCCAGTACTTTGAGGAAACAGAAACAAGGATCAATAAAACCACCACCCGCCATGTCATCAAGGTCATCAGAGGATGGGTCACAGTCATTAGGCCACCATGCCTGTCTACTCCAGAGATGTTCATGAGCATTACGCCATTCTAAAGCCATGTGTGAAAGTGAGATGCGGGGGGGTGCTTCAAGCAAACTGGATCAGACACAATGTGACTCAGCTTGAACCTTCACTCTGCCCTCCAATGAAGCAAGAGGAAGGGAGGTTTTCAGGTGGGAAGGGCTTGAAAGTGGTTTTGATAAGCATCAGACCTGTCAGATGTTTATCCAAACCAAACCTCCAAACCCTCTGAGTCACCACTTTAAAAGGAAAGGGAGCTGCGGGAGGAGGCAACGTCATTTGCATGAGTGCTCTTCTTCCCTGTCAGCTCTGCAACTTTCCCAGATGGGGGAATTAACCTGGTCACAGATTATTTTCTTGTGATCCATTAAGAACTGACAGGTAGCAGCACTGTGTACTACTTAATGAAACCAAAGGGAGTGGCTTAAGTGATAACACCCAAAGGGTGGTAATTAAGCTATACAGCAAAAGGAGCATTTGTTATGATGCAATAAAAAACAACATTCCAAAGCCTTCCATCTTAGCCTTGAACCTCCAAGGTATGCTGCTATTGCAGAAGAACACACACTCTGGAGGTCATGCAATATTTCCAATTTAAAGCGTTAACTCCTCTCTGCTAGCATCTGCTTCAGTGAGGAAGGCCTACGTCCAGGGGGAAGCACTAGAGGTGCATTCTGCCCAATTTACCGGGAGTGAAATTCACATTAGGTCAGAGAAGGCCAATACAAGACACGCGACACTTAAGTCCCACTTAAGCCATCAAAGTTGGGCTTAAGCAGGAGTGAAGTGATGCATGGGTTGTGCAGATTCTTTGAATAGGGATGAATTTCACACATGGCGTATTAAGCAGTAATGACGCTATTACATAGGCACCCTTTCAATACTTAGGAGCACAGTTCACTTCTGTCTCTTGTTTATTCCCAAGAATACTCAATGGCAAAACAGGTACCAGGTTATTGTGGCTCCACTGAAAAAATGCCATATTTTACACATGAATCGGAGAGCAGGATTTGGACTGAGAAATCAAACTTTCAGCCATCTCATATGCCGTTTCCAGTGCTGGGCTGCATTTGGTGTGACTCAGGAGCTGAGAAGTGAGGAAAAAAGGAGTTTCAAATGCCTTTACACTGTGGATCCTGGGAACTGGGCCAGTTCTCGAGCAATTCTAAGATATACACAGCAGCTTAAGAGGGTCATTCTGACAGCCAGAATCAGCTAGATTAACAGCTTCCTGGACATGCCAGCAAAATCTTCCACTGCCCAAATTCACCAAGTGTATGAACAACTTGCACCAATGGATTGGCACAAAGCAGCTGCAGCATGTCCATGAATCTGACTCACAACGGTTAGACACTACAGTGACAGATGAAGCTAAGTTGGGTTAGATAGATGGTGACAATGGTCCAGACCCACCAAGGTATTTAGGTGCTTAAGCTCCAGACTGTTTAAGTACCTATACACAATGGAACACTAACTGGGCGAGAGAGAGAAAGAGAGAGAGAGAGAGAGAGAGAATGAAGCTGTAGGTCAGTGATTAGGGCACCACCTAGGAGATGGGAAACTCCAGGTCCAGACCCTGTGCTCCAGTCACTCTTTCATTATTTACCCATAGTGCAACAGCTTCCACAGGAGAGACTGAAGGAGCCCTAAAGCAGAATATCCCATAACTATGGGGCTGGACAATGTACCTGAGAGTGGGGAGATCCCTGATCATATCTTTTCTCCCTCTCTGGCAGAGAAGGGGGAGTCGAACCTGGATCTCACAGATCCGATGTGAGTGCTTTAACCACCGGGCAAAAAGCTATCAGGTGGGCACCCCCACCACCTCCTTCTCTGTTGTGTTGTAGAGCAAGGCAGGTGCCTCACTCAGTGCCTCAAGAAGTGGCTTAGGCACTTCAGCTGCCTGACTCCATGTGGCTGATTCCCATTCATGGATTGCTAAGCAAAGATACATGCCTCCCTTCAGCCTGGACTTAGGCATCTAACTCAGAGAGATGGGCAGTGCTTAGCACACATCCCTGTCATCTGCAATTGGCTAGCTTGGGCAGCTCCCCACCTAGCCATGCTAGCTTTTGTGGATTGCAGTCTAAGGAGTCTGCCTCTCTCCTTCACTGGATAGGGAGCTTAGATGCCTTTCTTAGGCTTTGTGGATCCCAGTGTTGTTCCTGTTATTTTCTAAGCACCTGAAAGTTAGGCGCTGTGATTCCCAGCTTTGCAACACCTAAGTCCCTGTGTGGATCCCATTCAAAGTTCCTGCCCACTTGACAAGTTTAACTTTTTTTTATTTCAGATGCTCCACTTTCCTACTTCTAACTGTCCATGTTTTGATGAACTTCAGAATGAAACCCAGGCATCATGGCAATTACAAAACAAGTTGCAACCCTATATGGTAAAACAAAAAGGAAAGAATGTAAACTTAAGGGATTGTGACATTGGATTGTTTCCATTTACTGAAATTCTGTTACTGTCTCCCAAGGAACAACAGCCTCTTCAAAATAAAATTACCACAAGACAGGCTAATATTACTATAAAAATATAATATACCTGAACTCTGAACAAGTCTCAAATATATATTTTAACTTGAGTTTTATTTTAATTTTAATTTTTAGATGTGAATGTATCACTAACTAGCTCATGCTATTTGAGTTATATTTAATATGTGATAAATAGTCGAAAGAGACTGAAAATATTCCAGAGGCAGTAATTTCCTGCACTACATTGTAGCACAAAACCAATCATACAGATGCGATTACTCTGCTGAAACTGAGGAGAAATAAAGACCTCAAGATGTGACTGTTGCAATGCAAAACCAATGTAAAAACAACTCAAGCATTTCCACTTGTGCAAGTTTCATTACAATGCTATTTATTTGCAACCTCTCACCCAAAGTTGAGCAGTGTTTCTGCTTTGGCCTTGACACACCTCTTCACCCAAATACCCCCCAACTTTTCCCGCTACAGAGGCTGTAGCAGGCAATAAGTAAATAGGGTGAACAGGCCTTGAACATCACAGTCTATGGAGTAGCCACAGCTACATTGGGTAGCCTGCTGAAGCAGTGCCTAGTTGTGCTGCCTCAGTGTCACTAGTCAGTTCCTGCTTCTTCTTTGTTTTATGGGGGAAAGCAAGCTGTACCTGACTTTTTCCTTGTGCAGCTTACTTCCCACTCTTCACCAACTGCTGTGCTGGCCAGCGTCACCCATTCCCATAGCCAACTGCATGGGAGGGGAAGTAACAGCCTGACCGCCACTACTCCCTCTTCCACACTGTTACACATGGTTCAGGTGAAGAACACATAGGCATAAAGTGGCTTAGAGTCCCCTTACACCCCCTGCAGGAGCACAGAGCAAGGGTCCCTGCAGAACCAGCTGTGAAACCCTTACATGAATAAGTGCAGAGTAAAGCCTGGTAAATTCCTATTTTAGACTTTGGTATGGTTACATCTCTCATGGATGAGACAAAGCCTGCCCCCCACCCCGTGAGACCTAGCTGTACCAACTAACCCCAGTGTAGACCAGCACTAGGTTGATGAAAGAATTCTTCCATTGACCTAGTGCTGGTCTATACCAAGGGCTAGGTCGGTATAGCCAGGTCTCTGGGGGGTTGGATTTTTCACCTGCCTGAGAGACATATAGACCAGGCCTACCATGAGCAGGGCTTCACAAATGGTCTCTGGAAATGGTACATAAATAGGTTATTGCAAAAAGAGAAGGAAGGCAGAGCCCTGCATAACCTCAGGCAGTTTCAGGCCCCTAGGGGTTAGAAGGAAAGACAACTCTCACAAAGAGTACATTGCGGGTACTTTTTTTATAAAGTCAAATTGATACAAATCATTCACAAGGAGCGCGGGATATAGTGGGGCTTCCATATTTCACATTCATTTTACTCCAATGTAATTATGCTTAATTTTCACAGAACTGGTAGTCTAGGACTGTGGCTCTCAAACTGGTTCCCATTCTGGTAGTCCAGAGGCAAGGTGCAGGATTGCTCAGTTTTGAAAGATTTTTCCAAAGTCATTCCTAGAGGTGTAGAGGTCACCTGGCTGCCAGCTACAGTGTACATACACATCCTGGTGACATTTAGATTGTGTCTCATGTGATTCATTTAATTATCCAGAACCCCAAAGCTGAAATGGTATTTCAGGCTGTTTCAAAGAGCTGATCCTCCTCCTGGATTGAAATTCTCACATTCACTACATTCTTTGCCCCATACATTGCAACCTTACATTAGGACTATTCACATGTGTAAAGTTAAGCACACATGTAAGAGTTTGCAGGATCAGGGCCTATGAGTCCACATGAACATGTATCTAAGTGTATTGAGGCATTCATTATTCCTTTTGTTTTTGTCTTTCAGGGGTTTTTAAAAACTATGGCAGCTAACACAGGATACGATGTGGACAGTCTCAAACAACTGAATAAGTTCAAAACCTGGAATACATACGATACTCTGCTTTGTGAGGTATTTAAAAGAGAAAGCAAGAGAGAGACTAATCCTGAAGATCTGATTCAGTTAAACACAGCAATTTGGTTTCAACCAAACACAGTAATGACTGACCTTCTGTTCTGCCCTGGGCTTGGTTTCTTTTCAGCACCGTTTGAAGAATGGTGAATGATAATGAAGCATAATTTAGTGCATTAGAAAAGGATATTCTCAAATCATAGTTTACAATTTAGAAAACTAATCTTCATTCATCCCTGTTATTTATCATCCCTTTAAAACAGGACACTAAAATCCATCTCCTTATATTATTTCCCTTTCTGTACAACCCAGTGTGTTACTGTAGTTACTCAAGCATGCTGAGAAGCTCATAATGATTTTTGCTAATAGAAAAAGTGAAGTATTTTCTTTAGAACAACTCCTTATAAGTATATAAATACTTACCTGGAAGTTGAAAATAAGAGGTAGCAGCATTGTCTAGTGGTTAGAACAGGAACTGGGAGTCAGGAGATGAGAGTTCCCCACAAAGAGCTAGATTATGCCTTGCAGATCCAGTGTTAGAGAAGGGGCAGGAGTGAGTTGGCCAGGCAGGACATGCATCTTCCTCTCCAAACCCACACACTAGCAGAAACCAAGAAGGAAAGCGACTGCAGTAAGAGAAAGAATTACATTTCCATTGGGGCCCCCTCCATGATGAGGAACCTCCCTAAAAGGGTGTTCTGGGGGAGATACCAGGAAATGAAGCCACACAACAAAGGAACTGGGAGAAAGCCACAGGGAATCCAAAGGCAACAGTGTAAGGGTGGACTGGGGGGACAGAAAATGAATGGGAGAAAAAATAATGTTCACTTTCCTTTTTTACGATAGAGTATTCACAATTATACTCTCCCTGAATGGGCTTCCCAATATGTAATGAAGAAGATGAAGGAGCTGGCAGCATTGTCCTTACAGTCACTCTTTGGGATATACAAAACAAAAGACAAATCACGACTACAGGGAGGTAAATAAAATATTGCACAGCACTGAAAAGGGAGGAGTGATACTATACAACAAATCCAGTCTCCTTATTCATGCAAAGCTCCTTGTTGAAATGGCACTACAGTGTGTTTCTATATATACCTGGACACAGTAATAAACATTTAAAAATGTATTTTGAACACTGGTATTTGCATGATCCCTGGGATATCCTAAATGTACGTCCTAAATGTAGAAATGTCTTTGATTACCCTAGTTCAAGTTTCAGATTTGGTTGCAGAAATCCCAGCAGAAGATTCAAGGTCATTCTGACCTGAGTCTGACATATAATCACAGGACTGGAAGGAACCTTGAGAGGTCATCTGTCCAGTCCCCTGCCTCATGGCAGGACTAAGTATTATCTAGACCATCCCTGATGGGTGTTTGTCTAACCTGCTCTTAAAAATCCCCAATGATGGAGAGTTCACAACCTCCCTAAACAATTTATTCCAGTGCTTAACCACCCTGACAGTTAGGAAGTTTTTCCAATGTCCAACCTAAACTTCCCTTGCAGCAATTTAAGCCCATTGCTTCTTCTCCTATCCTCAAAGGTTAAAAATAACATTTTTTCTCCCTCCTCCTTGTAACCACCTTTTACGTACTTGAAAACTGTTATGTCCCTCTCAGTCTTCTCTTCTCCAGACTAAACAAACCCAATTTTTTCAATCTTCCCCCATAGGTCATGTTTTCTAGACCTTTAATCATTTTTGTCACTCTTCTCTGGACTTTCTCCAATTTGCCCACATCTTTCCTGAAATGTGGTGCCCAGAACTGGACACAATACTCCAGTTGAGGCCTAATCAGCGCAGAGTAGAGCAGAAGAATTACTTCTCATGTCTTGCTTACAAGACGCCTGCTAATACATCCCAGAATGATGCTCACTTTTCTTGCAACAGCATTACACTGTTGACTCATATTTAGCTTGTGATCCACTATGACCCCCAGATCCTTTTCTGCAGTACTCCTTCCTAGGCAGTCATTTCCCATTTTGTAAGTGTGCAACTGATTGTTCCTTCCTAAATGGAGCACTTTGCATTTGTCTGTATTGAATTTCATCCTATTTATTTCAGACCATTTCTCCAGTTTGTCCAGATCATTTTGAATTTTAATCCTATTCTCCAAAGCACTTGCAACCCCTCCCAGCTTGGTATTGTCCACAAAAGTTATAAGTGTACTCGCTATGCCATTATCTAAATCATCAATGAAGATATTGAACAGAACTGGACCCAGAACTGATGATCCCTGTGGGACCCCACTTGTTACACCCTTCCAGCGTGACTGTGAACCACTGATGATTACTCTCTGGGATGGTTTTCCAATGAGTTTTTCACTCACCTTATAGTAGCTCCATCTAGGTTGTATTTCCCTAGTTTGTTTATGAGCAGGTCATGCAAGACAGTATCAAAAGCTTTACTAAAGTCAAGATATATCACGTCTACCACTTCCCCCCATCCACAAAGCTTGTTACCCTCCCAAAGAAAGCTATCAGGTTGGTTTGACACCATTTGTTCTTGACAAATCCATGGTGACTGTTACTTATCACCTTATTATCTTCTAGATGTTTCCAAATTGGTTGCTTAATTATTTGCGCCATTATCTTTTGGGGTACAGAAGTTAAGCTAGACTGGTCTTTAATTCCTCAGGTTCTCCTTATTTCCCTTTTATAGATTAGCAGTACATTTGCCCTTTTCCAGTCTTCTGGAATCTCTCCCGTCTTCCATCACTTTTCAAAGATAATCGCTAATGGCTCAGATATCTCCTCAGTCAGCTCCTTGAGTATTCTAGGATGCATTTCATCAGGCCCTGGTGACTTGAAGATATCTAAATTGTCTAATTTTTAACTTGTTCTTTCCCTATTTTAGCCTCTTCTGATCCTACCTCATTTTTCACTGGTATTCACTATGTTAGACGTCTAGTCACCACCAACCTTCTTGGTGAAAACCAAAACAAAGAAGTCATTAAGCACTTCTGCCATTTCCACATTTTCTGTTATTTTTCCCCTCTCATTGAGTAATGGGCCTACCCTGTCCTTGGTCTTCCTCTTGCTTCTAATGTATTTGTAGAATGTTTTCTTGTTACCCTTTATGTCTCTAGCTAGTTTGATCTCGTTTTGTGCCTTGGCCTTTCTAATTTTGTTCCTACATATTTATGTTATTTGTTTATATTCATCCTTCATAATTTGACCTAGTTTTCACTTTTTGTAGGACTCTTTTTTGATTTTTAGATCATTTAAGATCTCCTGGTTAAGCCAGGGTGGTCTCTTGCCATACTTCCTATCTTTCCTACACAGTGGGATAGTTTGCTATGGAGCCCATAATGGTGTCTCTTTGAAAAACTGCCAACTATCTTCAATTGTTTTTCCCTTAGACTTGCTTCCCATTGGGATCTTAGCTACCAACTCCCTGAGTTTGCTAAAGTCTGCCTTCTTGAAATCCATTGTCTTTATTTTGCTGTTCTCCCTCCTACCACTCCTTAGAATCATGAACTCTATCATTTCATGTTTCAGAGTAGCAGCCGTGTTAGTCTGTATCCACAAAAAGAACAGGAGTACTTGTGGCACCTTAGAGACTAACAAATTTATTTGAGCATAAGCATATGGTGAAGTGGGTTGTACAGAACTCCTGTTCTTTTATCATTTCATGACCACTTTCACCCAAGCTGCCTTCCACTTTCAAATTCTCAATCAGTTCCTCTCTATTTGTCAAAATCAAATCTAGAACAATCTTTCCCCTAGTAGCTTTCTCCACCTTCTGAAATAAAAAATTGTCTCCAATACATTCCAAGAACTTATTGGATAATCTGTGCCCTGCTGTGTTCTTTTCCCAACAGATGTCTGAGTAATTGAAGTCCCTTATCGCCACCAAGTCTTGTGCTTTGGATGATTTTGTTAGTTGTTTAAAAAAAGCCTCATTCACCTCTTCTTCCTGGTTAGGTGGTATATAGTAGACCCCTACCATGACATCACCTTGTTTTTATCACTTTTATACCTACCCAGAGACTTTCAACAAGTCTGTCCCCTATTTCCATCTCAACCTCAGTCCAAGTGTATACATTTTTAATATGTAAGGCAACACCTCTTTCCTTTTTTCCCTGCCTGTCCTTCTTGAGCAAGCTGTACCCTTTAATACCAATATCCCAGTCATGCATATTATCCCACCAGGTCTCTGCAATGCCAGCTATGTCATAGTTGTGTTTATTTACTAGTATTTAAATGAATGACAGCAGCCTAGACCAGGTTTAGGTTCTATTTCTCCAATATTAAATCTAATTGTTTATTGAGCTTCGATTTTTTTTCTCTGATTTAATGTTAACCTTGGAAACACCTTCATGGCGACCTCACTGAGGCCCAGATATAAACCTGCCCCCAAGCAGCTCTGGGCACAGCTGATGCTAGGGGATTCAGAGTCCTTGGTAGCCCTCTCCTCTTGGGTCTGGTTCTACACTGGTTCCAACCACAGAGTAAATTAGAAGAGCCTCAAGTCAGCTCTAAACTGCACTGCCTGACAGCTGGCCCCCAGAGCTATTCTAGCAGGCAGGGATCGACAAAGTGCAGGGATACCTCAGCCACATCCCTTCTCCCTGGCCAAGCCCCTGTTCTGGGAGCAGGAAAGGGAATGGTGTAGGTGCCCCTAGAAGGATTCCTCCACTGGCTGGTTCTGCTGGCTTTAGGACACTTTTGTATTGTGAGAACAGCACAAAAGGGCCCTAGGCTAAAAAGACTCAAGAACCAAGCCTTGAGGGAAAAGGCAAGAGTCAAAGTTATGGCAAGTGAATTGTTGAAATATTTATCTGAGGTGCAGCTGTTATCAGAACGAAAGGTCATTGGGGAGAAGGCAGCGCAGCCTAACTAAAGGGGCAGGCATTGTAACCCTAATTCTCAGCCATATTCTAGCCTGGGTTCTAATGCTCCTGTTTCTCAAACTATCCTGGATTCAAAATATTTTTTTCATTTCTGTAACATCCATTGTCGAGCTCTGAATTCCATGTGAACTAAAAATGAATTACTGTTGTACATTCATGAACAGATCTTTCTGTTTAATACCTGGGATCTTTGAGTTTGGGCTTCCATCTGAATAGACTTTATTCATCAACATCCTCATTGCTCTTCCCCCATCTTCTTTAAGGTGTCCTGGTGAATGCTATTCTAAAAAACATCAAAAATGCCACTCAACCATCAAACAAGAGAAAAATGCAGATCTTTTCTGCAGTGAGTAACTTTATTTTTCCTAAATGTTGGTGTGATATGTTTACTAGTGGGAATTCAACAGAATGGGCTTTATTTGACTTGTACTGGGAGCAAATGCAGAGGGAAATTTATAAGCAATGTTACCAACGTATTTTGATGCAACAACTTTTCAATGTTAAAGAAAAAGATTACATTCCTGCTACAAATGGTGCAAAGGGGCTGTATGAGATCTATATTTTTCATTTTAAAATATTGTAACCAAATTCATGCTTGGTGTAACTCAATTTATTTATCTGTTCCAATTTATAAAGTATCTATAGTTTAAGACACTGTATAGTGATTAAAATACAACAATTAGAGTGGTATATAAACAAGCTCAGTAAACATACAAACAAGAGACTTACTCTAGGGAAAGATTTGGATTCCTTCCTCCCCCCTTCAACAACCTGTCATGAGCTTTCTTGCCAAAGGGGGCAATAGGTGTTTCAAAAATAAAAAACAGACCACAACTGGGGTTTTACTTTATTATCCCTTCCTAGAACTAAAAAAGGTTGTTGGAGGTAGGGGCAGCAAAACTCCACTTAAAAGCAACTACTATATTACATGGGAGCATTATTTTCCTTTTTTACAGCATGACACCACAATTGGTGCCCTACAGATGGCGCTCAATATTTTCAATGGAAAACTGCCACCGTACAGTGCTTGCCAGTTTTTTGAACTCTACCAAGAAAACAGTGGGCAAGTATCTTGACACATCTGCAGCAACCAAATGTGTTTTGCTTTCAGATGCCAATTTATTAATGCCTTAGATTATTTTTGAGAGAAAAGCATCCTCGTGAAATATAATTATATTTTAAATGAATTTTACTGAGCAGTCCTATTCACAATGTTGCATTAAATGCATTCAGAACCAATAATTGACTGAAATATGAGAGAGAGAGAGAGAGAGAGAGAGAAAACACACTTAAGTTTAGTGGTGGAAATTAAGTGAATGGATAAATGTGACTGCTTCCCTAAATGGTGGCAATAGTTTTCAAGCTACCCCTTAGAGCTTATTGCAGTCAGACATCCTTACATAGGGTCTGGTTCTGTTTTCATTTAGTTAAAGATTTCAAAAGGGCCTGCTGACATGACCTGTGACATTAGCAGTGACATGACTGTTCTAAGGAGCACTGAGCTTTGAATGTCTTTGCCAAGGTCTCTATTCTTGAAGAATTTGTTCTACAATAACTTCCATTAACAAAGGCTGTAATTTGCAGAGGGCTGTGTCTCTGAAGAGGAAATTTTAGATATAAGGATCTGATCTTTCTTTTTCTTCCGGGCACTGTAAATCAGGCACTACAGCATTGAAATGCACTATCGGAATGACTCCTTGACGGATCCTTATCTACTCAGGCTACCAGGCTGCACGTCTCCTTGTCCACTTGAGAAGTTTGCTAAGTTGGTCTCTCCTGTCATAGTGAAAAACTGGTCAAAAGAATGTGGAAAGTGTCAGGTGAGGGATTCCTAGGGCTGAGGAAGCAGGTCCCAGCCACACACCTCTGCACAAACACCAATCCCCTGCCCCCTAAGGGGTCAGAGTTCACTCCTGGATCAAGCATCATGCTTAACAACAGAACAACACTTATCTAACCCAGGCAAAGCCAGGAGTAAACCCAAGGCAAGATCTCTGGTTAGAGATAACAGACCTCCTCACCTCGGTAGAGCACAAAGCCCCTGTCCCCATATCTGGCTAGACACACACAGACCGTCTGCCCCAGGCCCATGCAACCGGCCCTCCACCCCACCCCGGGGCGGTCCAACCTCTTTGCATTCTGGTGCTGGTATGCCTTGTGAGCTCAAACTGGTGGGTGTTGCTGTGTAGTCTCAGCTGACCTGTCAGCTCCAAGCTGTGTTTGCAAGAATCCCCCGGTGCAAGCACCAATGCAGCCGTGCTGACTGTCCTCCAAGCAGCTCCCTAGTTCAGACTCTGTCTCTACCTCAGCTCAGGCTTGCTGCTTCTGCTGGCTGCTGCTCTTTCTTTGTTCCCTCCGCAAATCTTCCTTGGCTTATTTCTCCCCATTCCCGCACCATTAACTCATTGGTTTAAGCCCTCCCAGGTGGTCTGTAGTACCATTGTTTTGGAGTGGCACTCAGCCAAACAGGTTTGTGTAGAGTAGCAGGGAGGGGGGAAAGAGGGGATAAAGGAAGGCAAAAGGGCTCTTTACCCAGTCCCACACCAGTCACCATGTAAACACACCTGTCCTGAGGCATGCCCCTTGGCTTGGCCACCCTCAGCATTACTGTATCAGTTGGGTAGGAGGCTGAACCCCCCATTCAATCTTTGAGAATGTCTGAGAGCATTGCAGTACTCCCACCTCCCTGTTCTGCTCCTCGCCTGCCATGGGGCCAGATTTGGGTGCCTCTTCCATAGATGCTGGAACTAGGAGTGTTTGAAGTAGTAATAACAACCCAAATACATGGTGCCTTCAGCACCCCCTCTATAAAAATTGTTCCAGCACCACTGGCCTCTTCCCTGAGACACCCAATCTAATTCTACTTTCCCCTGCCTCAGAGCCAGGAGAAGGGTTGGGTGCTTCCACCGGGGATCCCCCCCATGTGAGCCACCCTACTAATGGGAATGGAGTGACTCCTTCTAGCCCTGCCTCTCGGCTACTGGGACTAAGATCTGCTCCCCCTACCCTGTTTGGTGGCTTGGGTTAAAAGCGTCAAGGCCTGAGCATATTCTGCTGGACCACCTTCTCCAGTCTCTCTGCAGACTGCTTGGATCTTCTATACTGGAGCCATTTGAAGTATGGGATCCCACAGACGATGCACAGTTTGTGGCACCAGGCTGCATCCAGTTTGGAGCGCCTCTGCTGCTTGAATAGGACCTGCCAATGGTTCCCTACCACCAATGGGCCGGCAGCAACATGTTTGCTATAGCTCCATTTCTATGTCTCAAGCTTGGTCCAGGTTCGCGGCTACAAGCTAACCTGCTTCACAGAGGTGTTGGTGACGCTCATTCTGAGGCCCCTGGTTGGATGCCCAAGGTCACGTGTATTGGCAGCTGCCCATTCTTGCCAAACATCAGGAAGAAGAGAGTGTACTCCATAGATGTGTGCAGCATATTGTTATACAGATAGGTCAGCTCTGGCAGGCAGGAAGTTCAGTGTCTCCGCCACATCCCTGCTAGGAGCATCTGGTTGACTCACACACAGAGGCTACTGCCTTGTTGGGGGTAGGCTGTCATCCTTAGCTTGTGGCTGCCAGATAGGGAGCACAATTTCTAGAACATCTGTGATTCAAAGGGCATGCCTAAGTCTGTGAGCACCTTGGTGAGGTAGCCACAGGCCGGGGCAAAGTAGTGCCAGAAAGCTTCTGTGGATGCTCTGACCATGATCTCCCTGAGGGGTGCAGCAACCAGGAATTTGGTGTGGTGATCCACCATCGTCAGGATGTAGGATGCATCGCTCTGGCTAGGCTCTACTTTCAAGTGGTCCCGTGCTCCCAACGTCAAGAGCACAGTGGGCTCTGTCCCCCATTCCAGGGTTCCTTCTGTTGGTGCAGACCCAACCTGCCTGTTCAGTAGGTGCTGGCATGCACTGTGAGCACAAACTGGTGGGCCGTGCTGGGTGGTCTTAGCTGTCCTGTTGGCTCCAGTAAGAATTCCCTTTTGAAAGCACCCGTACAGCAGCTGGCTCTCCTCCAAGCAGCTTCCTATTTCAGACTCTGTCTCTGCCCCAGCTCAGGGCTGCTATTTCTGCTGCTCTTGTTTTGTTCTCGCTCCAAATCTTCCTGGGCTTCTTTCCTTCCCTAACCCTCATTGATTTAAACCCTCCCAGGTGGTCTGTAGTTAATTCTGTGTCCTTGTTCTGGAGTGGCACTCCCCACCCCCCAGCCAATCGGAGTTGTGCAGAGACACAGGGGTGGGGGAGGGAGTGGAAGAGGCTCTTTACCCAAGCCCATAAAAGAGAAACAAAATGAAAGGCAATGGAATAGGATTGTGTTTTGTCTGTACACAGCATTTAAGCAGTAACTGCAGGAATGGCTTCAAACTTTCTATGTGCCATGATTCTTTAAAATAGTAGACTGATCTTCAGCTAAAGAATATGGGCCACATTCATCACTGATGGGGAAGGGAGTATAGATTACATTGCCTTGTGCAAGTGAGCTCCCTTGCATGCAAAGGGGAAATGCACCCAAAAGGAGTGAAGGCAGTGTTACTCCCAGCACTTTTCTCCAGTGCAGCTTTAGTACATAGCCACAACTTGATAAAGCCCATATAAGTTTGCAATTGAGACTCCTAAGGGAGATTAACTGAATCAAAGCATCTTCCAACACTCTTGGCCATGCCCTCTTCCCACCCATACTTGGTTTTGCTGACCCCCACCACACCTCCCACAGGCACCACCACATATGTGGTACATAGCTCTGACCCTGTGAACACTTATGGCCATGAACAAGAACTATTCACATGCATGATGTTATGTACATCAGTGTTTCCAGAATTGGGGTATATGTATTTATATAGGAGTAGCATATGTATTAATGTACTGGCACACATATAAACTTACCAGAAAAATAAACAAAATTCAGCTACAAAATACTTTAATGCAAAATATTAAAAGTTAAGACTATAGTCTGGAACTCTAAGGTGACATATATTGATACCTCTTCCTCACATGCATATTTTCCCTTTACTATTTTATCCCAAAGATACATTCCTAGGATTTGACTTTGCTGTTGGCCTGTTGTTCATCTTTGATGCTGTGCTGTTGTACCTCCTCTATGAATATGGAAGCTGCAGGCGTAAAAACACTTACCGAAACTTTTGAAGGTAAAAGAATGAATAACTAGAAACTGCAAAACTTCTAGACCAGCTAGATGTCTGCTGCTGTTAAGTTGCCCTCAGTGTTTTACAATCTACGATGATCTCTGGTCAAATGTTTCTACAAAGTGCATTGAATGACGAGCATCTGCAACCCAATTTATAAATCACTGGATCATCACTGAAATAAGCTCATGTTTAGAATTTGCCCTTGTAATTTTGTTTAGGAAAACAGGGCTTAGATCATTTTAAACAATCTCTTTACTCCATACGACTGATAGCTTTTACAGCTGAGCATCATTTATGTTGTTCACTCAGATTTTTTCAAAGTCAAAGCTTTATCTGTGGTTTTTATACCAATTATTGATGCAACCACCAGAGAAAGCAGTGATATACTGTCCAACTTGATAAACGTTATTACCATCTGTCCCTCTCTCACCTCCACCAAAATAATCTTTGTTGAAAATCAGAGTCTATATTGTTTTCCTTACTTCTTACGTGTGGTCGTTCTGTCAGCATAGAGGAACACATTTTCAGCAGGTGGAAACTGCAATTACTGTGCAAAGAATGTTTGTACCAGCATTTGTGTCCACAGTTACCACATTTATTCATGCAAACCATGCCTAAGTGCTGGCCTCAGCTTCCACCTGCAAAAATGGCTGACCTGATTTGCAAAGGTGCTATACTTTCACACTCTCATTGAAGTCAGCTGGAACTGTGGGCACTCACTAGCACATCTGAAAATCAGGCCAGAAGCCAATATTGTGTTTATTATCTACTATTTCACTCCCCTCTCTCATCACTCTTCCCACCCTTGGACCTCCCCAAGCCATGGCTCTCCCCTCGCCTTTGTTTTCTCTGCCCCTGATCCCACTCCTATACCTAGAGTAGCCTCTCTCCTTCAGTACACTACCGACCTCACACTCTTCCTTCAAGTCCCTCCATAAACATCACTCCCTTCAGCCAGCTTTTAGGCACTAACCTTCTATATACCTGATCTCAGGCCTCACCTTATCTTTTATTTTAATTCACATTGCATGTTAACTCCCTGGCAGAGGCAGTGCTAGCCCATTGGGGTTGCTAAGCAGGAATATCCCCCCCCATACTAAGTCCACGTTTATTATAATAATAATAAAAAGCGAATAAGGGCCACCCTTGAGTTGCTTGGGGCCCTAAGCAATTGCTTGGTCTGCTTACCCCTAGCGCCGGCTCTGCTCTCTGGCCTCTCTAAAAATCCTTGGAACTAACAAGACATGTGCTGAAAGAAACTAATCAGTTGTTTTGCTTTTCATATTGCATCTCTTTCCTGAACTGCATTTAATCTATTTAGATTGTAAATTCTTTGGGCAGAGAACTTGTCTCCTTCCATGTCTGTAAAGTGTCATACACAATGATGGTGCCATATAATTCATTAATAATCATATTTTAAGGGGCAGTTTGTACCTTTTCTGCCACAGCTCTGTAGGGGGTGATGTGGGCCACATTGCCCCAGTAGAAACATCATGAATAAATTTCTCTCAGCGCTGCTCCATGCACAATCGCCATCTTTGCCCTGGGAAGATGAAAAATTAGAATGAAGGAAATTGCTCCCCTCAGTGTAACAGCCCCACTCCATGGGTATGGAGAGGAGGCAGCCCCTGGCTGTGCCTCATTTTCAGACTCCTGTTACCCAACAGTGAGCAAGCACTCCCTCCATCATCCTTATGGTGACACACTATGAGGAGAAATTTCTTGGTGTCCCCTGTTGTAATAACTGGGCCTAAAGATTTACCCTAATTATGAACTCAACTGTGAAATGCGAGTGAAAGTTTATAAAATGTCATAACCACCTATAAACAACAAATGCTGAAGGGAAAAGGTACAAAAAAACCCAGGCAATGACTGAACAAACAAACAAATAGTCCAAACAAAAAGGTTTATGGATATAATTCAAGGGTTGTGTTAAGATCATGACTGGTAAACAAGAGCAGTGAGACAGTGAAAATCAATTAACCAACATTGGTGTATTGGAAATAGGTCTAATTGGTGGACAAAATAATGAGGGGATGGGCTATTCTACTGCTCCCTCCCTTTTGGGATCCTTAAAACACCTCCCTCCCCCCCCCCCACACACACACACTTTGGGGCATAAAGCTGGCTACCATGATGCCAGCTGACTGAAAAACAAGAAAAGAGGAAGGAGCAAACTTTATTATCATGGCTGCCACCTCACCGTCTCCTGGGACCCCAGATCATCGTCTTTCTAATCCTGAGAGATGCCCTGACCAGTCCAGGTCAGAGAGAGGAAGCCAGATGACACCACCACTTCTACCGGCTCTGGCTGAATCCTGAACACCTGCAATGTGTGATTGTGTCTCTGCCACGTGTCCTTTTCCTCCCCTGCCTTATTTCTTCTCTTTCCTATCTCTCTCCTTTTCCTTCTGTGTAGTAAGAGTCTGGCTTAGCTGCACAACACTGCATATTTTGCAACACTGCTGTAAGCCTGTGACCAGAAAGGCAGCAAAATGCAATACCCTAACCAACCCAACATTGGTACAAGGTTGCCAGGTCTTGGAGTGGTAGAGAAGACTGTGTGCTGTGCCTGTGTTTTTCCAGCAGTGAGGTTGCAAGTGAAAGTCAATGGCAGAGTCAGATGCTCCATTTTTTAATCTTTGCCATTCTTTTCTTTCCCCTTTTGTGAAATGAATATGAAAGCTTGTTAAAATAAAAGCCTTACTTAATTTTATGTTTTAAATGTATCTTTAATAACAGATTAAAAGGATTTTTAATGGTGTTTACGCCATGGTACTAAGCAGCTGAGGTCTCTGTATACCTGTTAGGATATAGATATTCAGGCCTGTCTGTAAAGGCCTATACTCTAAGAATGTAGGTATATGTTTATCATTTAGCTAGTAATAGAAGTATACAAGAAAGAATCTGTGTAAGGGCCTTCTCTCACTGTGACAGTCTGAGGCCCTGTTCTTAGGCAGCCATAAGCTGGGAAGCGAAGGGTCACATCCTCACATTCCAAACTAGTCAATATGGGGCTGTTAGGAAGGTGATCCGATATTTCACCTCTAGAGAAAGGGAAGAGCCTAGAAGATGTAAAAGGAAATTTAGGTTGATAGTTTTCTGTCTGGTAAGAACTCACTTATCAATAGACACAGCTGGGAAACCCTTATGTCTTTATAGATGTAGTTGTGAAATCCTCACTTCTGTATTGTTTTGTCATTATAGTTCCCACTTTGCTATTAGAAAAGGAGTACTTGTAGCACCTTAGAGACTAACCAATTTATTTGAGCATGAGCTTTCGTGAGCTACAGCTCACTTCATCAGATGTATACCGTGGAAACTGCAGCAGACTTTATATACACACAGAGATCATGAAACAATACCTCCTCCCACCCCACTGCCCTGCTGGTAATAGCTTATCTAAAGTGATCATCAGGTGGGCCATTTCCAGCACAAATCCAGGTTTTCTCACCCTCCACCCCCAAATCCAGGGTGAGAAAACCTGGATTTGTGCTGGAAATGGCCCACCTGATGATCACTTTAGATAAGCTATTACCAGCAGGACAGTGGGGTGGGAGGAGGTATTGTTTCATGATCTCTGTGTGTATATAAAGTCTGCTGCAGTTTCCACGGTATACATCTGATGAAGTGAGCTGTAGCTCACGAAAGCTCATGCTCAAATAAATTGGTTAGTCTCTAAGGTGCTACAAGTACTCCTTTTCTTTTTGCGAATACAGACTAAGACGGCTGTTACTCTGAAACCTGTCACTTTGCTATTGTTTATTGGCATGGTCTCTGCCTGGTTCTGTGATTGTTTCTGTCTGCTGTATAATTAATTTTGCTGGGTGTAAACTAATTAAGGTGGTGGGATATAATTGGTTAGCTAATCATGTTACAATATGTTAGGATTGGTTAGTTAAATTTCAGTAGAATGATTGGTTAAGGTATAGCTAAGAATATTAGTATATAAATTAGGGGCAAACAGGAAGTAAGTTGGGATTCGAAAATAAGGAAAAAGGAACTTGGATTTAAGCTTGCTGGAAGTTCATCCCAATAATCATTGAATTGTTTGCACCTTCGGACTTCGGGTATTGTTGCTCTCTGTTCATGCGACAAGGACTAGGGAAGTGGGAAAGTGAAGGAATAAGCTCTCTAACAATACCAAACCCTGAACCTTGCTTAAAACTGTTTAATGTTGGACAGTTTCACGGTCAAGTTAACACCTTTAACTCTTTGGACCTATATATTCCTTCTAAAGGGATAATACAACACTCCTACACAGCCACAGATGAGTTGCACAAAATCTGTCCCTAATCGTACAAAATGATATAGATCTAGTACCTAGATGCTACAACTATGGACACATTAGAAATGTGAGAGACAGATATTGAATGGCATAAACAGAAGAGTGGGATAGCACAGATTTATGGGAATAAGAAGATTCCCAAGTGTATCTCTTTTTTGCCAATAGTAACTTCAGCCAGTCAGGTGACCAGCTTTTGAAGTGATGCTTTTCCATCAGTGGTACGACCTCATTTACGTCCCTGATATTAAGACTGCCATGTTTATGTTGGGGATGTCATGATCAAATGATGGATTTACTCAATCAGTGTTGAGGATGCTGTATTGTACAATGCTTTAGGGAAATGCTGTTGAAAAGAATAAAAGTATCCTTATATCAGATGTTTTGGCTGCATCAGCTTCATAGATTTGGTACTTCTGATCTTGGGTAGCTACCTGCAAAGAAAACGACTTGGTAGATAAGTGGCAGTGAAGATAGCCATTTTGCGGCACTGGAAAGACAATGGCACTCCAACCGAGGTGGAATGGAGCATGCTTATCCAAGATGGCTTTCTACAAAAGATTGTATTCAAATAGGGAAATAGAGGGGTTTTGAGGGCATTTGGAAATCTTTGTATGGATTACATTTCTAAAGCTGATGCTACTACTCAGAATTTCCGGATGGGTAGCCACCCTAACTATATTGAGTGCTGGCATGAAGCAGTTTTATTTCTGGGATTCATTTCCGTTAATGGCATAAAATTATTACAAATGATACTTGATAAAATCCAAGTGCCCTTAATAAGGATACAACAAACACATGGTAGAATGTAATGGAATCTGCAAATTCAAAATTCTCACTGTGATGTTGGGGGAGGAAGCCATGATCAATTAGTAATGAAGAGCCTGATTCTCAGTTATACCAAGGCCCTTTACACTGCTCTGACAAATTAAATTAAAGTCATACCCACTTTAAGGCCCCTTTACAATGCCAAAGCAATATAAAGCGACCTTAATGTAAATAAGAATCAGGCTTCTTGGCTTTTAAAAGCTACATGAGAAACCCAAAAGCCTTAAAAAAGTTAACTTTTTTCTCATTGGTGACTCGTTAGATCGTTTGAGACAAAAACTATACTGCCCACAATTTTGTAAAACTGCAATAAAAAATATTAAAGAAAAAAGTGTGTGCATTTATATTTGAATGAACTACAATAGAACCCTACTAATGTGTACTTAGTGATCTGTAAATCCACAACAAAATTGAATTTTCTAGTTTCCTGTTCACTGAAGCAGGGAACAGCAAAACACTAATGCATTGTCAAGGGTATGGCCAATGCTGATGGCAGCTTAGTCCCTAAGGACAAATGGAAGAGCTCCACATAACCCTGTGGGTCTGCCCGCAGTACAGTCATGGAAGCAGTGACATCAGTTGGGTATACAGCTCTGTTGCAGGGTTTGCTGGTGCACACAGGAACCAGCAGAAGTGACAAGGTATTCTTACACTGGCTCACAAGGAGAATGCTCATACTGTTATGCTATACAATCCTGCTTGGCTCCTACAATACACATTGGCTCCACTCCAGTGCTCACTAATCCTCATACACACTGGGGGTCCAGCCACATTTATGCATGTTAGGACTTCTGCTGTTCTACTGTATTTTTAAGGTGGAACTATTACATGAGACAGATGTATGTGCTGTCCTGTGTGGTTCTCTTGACTTTGCCTTTTCACTCCCTGAAAGATTCCAAGTCTCCAATCCTGTTGGATGCCTTTAGTCACATACCATCCTACTATTGCTTGACAACATCACAGTGTGAATTGTCTTTAGACATTTGATTTTCTGCAGTCTCTTCTGAGCTGCACATTCTTCTACAGTTCTCTGAACTGCACATGGCTGCGGTTTGATGACTGTAACACCCAGAGCTGACTGAATCCTGGCTCTTGTCATACTAACTCGATGTCTGCATGTTTACACACAGATGATGGAGAACAGCCTGACAACATGTTGCACTGGATCTGAGTGGCTGAGGCTTTGCACACTTTACAGTCAGCTTTTGCAGGACAAGAGCCGAAGAGAAAATCTCCCAGATCATAGTGCACTTCATGTCACTTGTTAGGTCCTGAAGTCAAAGGGGAAACAAGTACCACAGCCTACCTGATTGGTTGCTCTAAATATGAATGAGAAATCATCAGATTGATACATAAGGTGACACATCATCATGATGATATCACAAGACTGTCCACTATGTTTAAAACTTTCCAAGCGATCAACTGATTCA